GCCAGCCTGGTCTACATAGTGAGTTCCAGGACAGCTGGGGCTACAGGGAGACCCTGTCTCAAAAAGACCAAAAAAAAAAAAAAAAAGTCCATATGTATAGCTAAAGGCTACATAAACAAGAAACAATGCCAGACAGGCGATACCTTACTTTGAGTTGTTGGCCAGGATGGCCCAAGAGACTCCCAGACAATAACCCAGCATAGAACTGGGAAAATGAACAGCAGACACCAATCTTATCTAAAGGAATATTGACAACTGATTGCTGCTAGATGAGGAACAGCTGATCTTCCTAAAACAAGGAACTCTCGATAGGCTGACTAGATTCAGCAGATGGACAAGCACTGGGGAACGGCTGGGGGTACTGACAACACAGTGGTTAGTAACAGGGATGACAGAGTATATGGGCTCCAGTGGGGGGGGGCTATGGGAGGGTGCCATTTGGGAAGTGGGTATATAGATGAATAAGATTGTTTGGGATGTTCTGTATGATATACACAAAAAAAATTAACAAATAAAAAAAGTTATATTTGAGGAGGAAGCATAAAAATTTACTTCATATTCATTAGTAGAGATGAAAACATGAACACTGAAATCTACCTGATGACTTTATATCCATACTCAGGTGCCAAGGATCCGAGTGTAATGGACTGTGACTAGTAATAACCAGACACATAGAGATTAGAGATGCATGTGCAAACATTTAAGTGTTAGCATTAAAAATGAGTCTTTCTGCTGGGCGTGGTGGCGCACGCCTTTAATCCCAGCACTCAGGAGGCAGAGGCAGGGGGATCTCTGTGAGTTCAAGGCCAGCCTGGTCTACATAGTGAGTTCCAGGACAGCTGGGGCTACAGGGAGACCCTGTCTCGAAAAGACCAATAAATAAATAAATAAATAGTCTTTCTGTAGGAAGCAGTATATTTTAAAATGAAATGATCTTTTTTAAAGGTTAAAAACATTCAATTTTGTGTCTTACAGGGTTTATACTGAGTTCAATATTGTACAACTGTATTCATTCAACTGTGAACCTAAAAATTTACAGCCACTTTTGAAAGAGATGTATCTTTGCTCTGGAAATTGTTATTGAATATGTTAAAGTTGCAATGAAATGCTTCTTCTGAAAAAAAAAAAAAGAAGTAAAAGATTCATGAAGCTCAGGGTCACATGGGTAGTAAGTGAAAGACTTGGCATTCAAGACTGTTTACTATACACCAAAAAGTAAAAGCCACAACCAAGAATTTATGAGAAACACTAGAATTACAAGAAGTGTGGAAAGCAATTAAAAAAATCTGACATCAACCTCTGACCTTCATATATATGCACACATGTGCAGACACACCCCCTGATAAACATATATACCCATTTTTTTTTTGTCTTTTTGAAGCAGGGTCTCCCTGTAGCCCCAGCTGTCCTGGAACTCACTATGTAGACCAGGCTGGCCTTGAGCTCACAGAGATCCGCCTGCCTCTGCCTCCCAAGTGCTGGGACTACAGGCGGTCCCCACCACGCTCAGCTAATTTTTTTAATGAAATGGCTTTCACTATGTTGCCCAGTTGGCTCTGAACTTCTGGCTCTGATGATCCTCCTGACTGAGCCTTCCCAGCACACAGGATTACCACTGTGCTCAGCTGGGGCATTGAATTTCTTGCTTTCATCCTTTCTTCCTTCTTTGTGGCTGGAATGCAGACATGAAAAGGGAGCTCCAGCAACCAGGCAAGACCATGTGGAGATTTTGAGGAGAAATACCATCTGTTTCAAGAAGAGCAGAATAGAAAAAATAGAAGGTCTCTGCTGATTCTGAAAGTGCAACAGCAGCCCTGGAGTGAGCACTCCTGAACTTTAAACCTGTACTTGATTAAGCTCTTACTATTTGGGCTTTTCTATAATATGCTTTGAGCCTTTTCCAGCTAATGAGAAAATAATTTTAAAAGCTAGAGCATCAGCTCACAAAAATTCAAGTTGTAGGAATGACTTTTACAACATGGACATAATCTAAAGATTTTTACCTAACCTGCAACCAAAACATTAAGGTTCGGAATGTAAATAAGTGGGGCTGGAGAGATGGCTCAGTGGTTAAGAGCACTGACTGCTCTTGCAGAGGACCCAGGTTCAATTCCCAGCAACCACATGGTGGCTATGAACTCCAGTTCCAGGGAAATGTGAAGCCCTCTTCTGACCTCCGCAGCACTGCACAACATGGGTGCACTCACATACATGTAGGCAATACACTCATACACATAAAATAAAGAAAATATGTATTTTTTTAAAGGCACAGCTGAAATGCGGCTTAGAAATGCCACCACAACTATCAGAAAGGCTCTAAAACAACAGAAGAGACAAAATAGAAAGGTACAAAATTTGTATAGTTTGAATGTCCTCCAAAAGCTCATGTGTTAAAGGCTTGTTCCATAGCATTGCTCGCATTGCATTATTAGGTGGTGGAGTCTTTAGTAGGTGGGGCCAAGTGGGAGGTTCTTAGGCTACTGAGAGCATGTTTCCAAAGAGGATTGTGGAGCCCTGTCCCTTCCTCTATCTCTAGTTCTTCTGGCCAGGAGAATAACAGTTTGCACTACCACATACTCCTCACCACTGTCTGGCCCCAAACAATGGATCATCCAAAACTTGCATTGGAACCTACAAAACTAGGTATCAACATAAACTTTTCTCCATATTAGTTACCGCCAGCATTTAATTATAGAGATAGAAAGTTGAAAAGCACCCAAAAATATCTAAGAAACAAGAACATTTCTCAGTCTAAAAGAATAAGGCTTTTCTAGCTGGGCATGGTGGCGCATGCCTTTAATCCCAGCACTCGGGAGGCAGAGGCAGGCAGATCTCTGTGAGTTCAAGGCCAGCCTGGTCTACATAGTGAGTTCCAGGACAGCTGGGGCTACAGGGAGATCTTGTCTCAAAAAGACCAAAAAAAAAAAAAAAGAGTAAGCCTTTTCTGATTGAAAGTATCAGATGAGTATCACAGTAGGCCAGAGGAGGGCATCAGATCCCCTGGAACGGGAGTTGCTGATTGCCATATAAGTACTGGGAATCAAATGCTAGTCCTCTGCAAGAGCAGTCAGTGCTCTTTACTGAGACATCTCTCCAGTTCTTCATACATCCTTCTTTAGGGAGCTGCTCAAAGACGTACTTTAGGAAGATGGGAGAGTGAACCGAGAAACAGAAGAAATCAGGAAACAGGAGGCATGGCCCCAGACAGTGGCAACAGAATTCCTAAGCTGACAGCTGGGCAGCGGGCCTGGCTAGCAAGCTGGAAGAACAACAACATAAGCACTTTACTATTATTCAGTTGAAAACTGAAAACTATTATCAATATACATTTGGCAGAATTTATTGAATATACGGAAAAATTAAAGCAATCAAGATCAAATTTTGAAAAGGTCAAAAATCAAGTCACGAAACAAATCAAAACCAAGATAGAAAAATAAATATTTATAATACTGGGCACAGTGATGTACACCTGTATCTGAGCACTAGGGATAGGGGGTTGAGGCAGGCACATGTCCTGAGGCCAGTCAGGGATATATAGTGAGATCCTATCTGCAAATAAATTTTAAAAAATTATTTTTAATAAACGAAAGTGAATATTCTTATAATAAAAGAAATATAACTGCAGTATATTGCTTGGGTTTACAGAGCAAATATTTGTACAATCCTAATAATTGTCTAAGTGTGACAACTGTCTAGGGAGAAGGGAGGATGAGAAGGGATATACAAAGGATGAAATATTCAAGTACCAAGAAAAAAGCAGAAAATTTCTAAAGCTGTAAATCAAATTGATATCATTTGGAACCTAATAAATACATTTTAAAAAACTAAGCCAGGTGTGGTAGCTCACGCCTGTAATCCCAGCACTGGGGAGGCAGAGGCAGGGGGACCTGTGAGTTCAAGAGACATTATATGACATGCTATAAAAACATTCAATTATTCTAATTATTAAGGGGGAAAAAAAAAAAAAAAAAAAAAAAAAAAAAAAAACTAAATAAAGGAGATGGCGAGATAGCTCAGTGAATCAAGGCGCCTGCTGCCGAGCCTGATGACCTGAGTTTGATTCCAGGGACCCACATGGTGGAGAAATCCAACTCCCAAAAGTTGTCCTCTGACCTTCACACATACACCATGTCATGCACATGCACACACACATATAAATAAACAAATGCAATAAACAACAATGTAATAATAAAAAAAATAAGAATACTTAGAATATAATTTCTAGCAGAAGAAACAGCCAAAAGAACTCAGTGAAAATTGCCTGTAGGAAACAAGGAGCAATTAAGTGCCACTCTCAAGCTTCTTGGTGTTTGATGTTTTAAGTCTGTGCATGTATTTCTTAAGAACAAAAAATCGGGGGCTAAAAAGATTGCTCAGCTGCTAAGAGCACTGGCTGCTCTTGCAGCCAATACATCATACACATAAAGTAAAAGTAATAAATAAAATATTTTTTAAAAGAATAAAAATTTAGGGGCTGGAGAGATGGCCCAGTGGTTAAGAACACTGGTTGTTCTTGCAGAAGACCCAGGTTCGAATCCCAGCACTCACATGGCAGCTAACAACTGTCTGTAACAGGTGCACTTACCTACATGCAGGCAATATATGCATACACATAAAATAAAAATAATAAAAATATTTTAAAAAGAATAAAAATTTAAAGAAAAATATACACACCATGAAGTTAAATACATTACAATAGCCACAAAACATCATTATTTACTGAACTCTTATTAATGGCACAGCAGAAACCAAACATAAATCAGCCCATTCATTCCTCACAAGCTTCATTTTAAGGAAATTCATTTCAAATAGAAAACTCATTCTTCTCTTGCACACAGGCAAGCACATCAGCATGAACGCATACTGAACAGGGCTCCCTCACAGTGTAGACTCTTCCAGGAATGCAGCTTAATGGCTGCTTGTTTCTACTTCACTGTTACTTTTCTCCCATTTGGCATCTGAATTTGTATAATTGTTCAACTGTGGCATTTTCAACTTACAAAGAATAGTTTCCTGCTTTCATCAATCTCTTCCTTTTTCTTGTTTAACTTTTTTTTCATTTCTAGTTCATACAGCAAATTCTGTCGCTTTATCTCCTCAGCATCTTTTTCTTCATTTTTTTTCCTTTCTTCTTCTTCCTCTTTGTGTTCCTTTATTCTAAAGCAAAAACACAAGCATAACTGGGGGCAAAGCATAGAAATACATCGTAGTTTAAAGAAATGAGCCAGGTTCTAACCTGGGAGGACGTGAAGCCTAAAGAAAGATACAGGACTTTCTTGGGGAAAGAAGACACAAAGGAGCAGCTGTGAAAACAATTCAAGCAACCCAGAAGTGCCCATACTTGCCTTGACTTAACACAAGATTCAAGTGTTCCTGTTCTTTAGAAAGGAACAATTAACCGAGTGACAGTGAGGGGAATGGAAAAGCTCCTGATCTCCAGTGCTGCTAGATTTCTATGGAAGCTGATACTACATAAGCTACATGTCTAGGCCTCAAGAGCTGGGGTTTGATGGCAAGAGCAACGGAAGTTTCCTCACCCAACTGGCCACTTTGGTTGCCATTCTTCCTGTAGCCACTGCTGGTTGGCTACTAATCCCTTCTGCATGTTTAGCTCCAGATGCTACTGTCTCTCAGGGTTCATGTGTGGATACTTCAGGGACACCTGAAGGCTGTCTTCACTGCACAGCCCTGATGTAGGTTTATCTCTAGTGTGACTTCTTACCTCCCAAACTCCATCACTGTCATTACCAGGAGTTCCCATTAGCAGCACGTTATGGCAGATTATGGATCTCCAGGGCCCTTCTTCTGGCAGCCACTGTGCACATGTAAGACTGCTCACACCCCAGGCATCTACCCATTCATGGAAAGCCTATGCCTCCATCTCAGTCAGTTAGCATGAGTACACCTGGCCAAGACCACTCTATTTGCTGTCTTACTAGTAATTTTTCTTCTCGACAGTTAGGCTCAGGGTAAATTAACAAGCTAAAGAATAATAACCCTTTCTTTCATATGCACCCAACTGTGCTGGATAGCTTTAGTGTCAACTTGACACACCTGGGTTGAGGGAGCCTCAATTGGGGAATTGTCTTCATTGAACTGGCCTGTGGCCATGTCCACGGGCACCTTCTTGATTGCTGAGTGATGTGGGAGGGCCCAGCCCACTGTGGGTGGTGCCACCCCTGGGCAGGTGGGCCTGTGTTGCATAAGAAAGCAGGCTAAGCAGGAGCCAGGGGAACAAGCCAGTAAGCAGCATTCCTCCATGGCCTGTGCTCCAGCTCCTGCCTCTAGGTTCCTGCCCTGACTTCCTACCTTGGCCTCCCTGATGAACTGTGACCTGGGAGATGTAAGCCAAATCAACCCTTTCCTCCCCAAGTTGGTAGTGATCAGAGTGTTTTGTCACAGCAATGGAGAGACAAACTAGGACACCAATCAAGCATTTTTTTCCTGGAGTTTTTTTGCTTTAGGGAAAGGAAGATCCCCTTCCCTTAGACTTCAGAGGTCCACACAGGGAAGTGAGCCAAGAAATTCAAGAAATACAGAGTAAGCAACTCTGGAGTCTGACTCTCTCTACGAGGTACAAAGGAAAAGATCACTGCTGGCCAGAGCCACATCAGGTTTATGGTGCACCCCCCAAAAGTTTTCAAAATTGTATTTCCTTATTTTGTCATCACTACTTAATATTTTATATATGACTGGCGTGACAGCTCAATAATTAAGAGCAATGGCTGCTCTTGCAGAGGACCTGGTACTCACATGGTAGCTAACAACCACCTGTAACTCCAGTTCCAGGGGAAACCAATGCCCTCTTCTGACCTCTGCAGGCATCGCATGACATGGGTACACTTACCTATATGCAGGCAATATACTCATACACAGGAAATAAAAATAAATAGAATATTTAAAAAATATTTTGTCTACTAACTACATTGAACTAGGTTTGGGGTTGCAGGGAGAACCTGTCTCAAAAAAAAATTTAAAAAAGTAAAAGAAAAAAGTATCCAATTTTACAAAAAATTTTTGTTTTTTTAATTGATACTTTAAGAGAAAATAACAAAATATAAAAATTTGCAGCTTTGGGACTGGAGAGATGGCTCAAGGGTTAACAGTGCTTCCTGCTCTTCCAGAGGACTGGAGCTCAGTTCACTTTCAGATCAGATGGCTCACAACCACTTGTAACTCCGGCTCCAGGGGTCCTGATATCCTCATCTAGTCTCTGTGGGGACCAGTATGCACATGCACATATTCATACACATAATTAGAAATAACATATCTTTCTTTTTGGTCTTTTTGAGACAGGGTCTCCCTGTAGCCCCAGCTGACCTGGAACTCACTATGTAGACCAGGCTGGCCTTGAACTCACAGAGATTCCCCTGCCTCTGCCTCCAAAGTGCTGGGATTAAAGGTATGCACCACCACACCCAGCTAATACAAGATATTTTTAAAGACTTATGTTTATTTGTATAAATACTTCGCTTGCCTGTATGTACATGTACCTGGTGGTGTACAGTACCTGTGAAGGTCAGAAGAAGGCAAAGGAGCCTCTATGTGGTTGCTGAGAATTGTCTCAAGACCTTTGCAAGAACAGTAAGTGCTCTTAACCACTGAGTCATCTCTCCAGCCCCCAAAATAAATCTTTTGAAAAAGTAAAATAAAATAATTTATAGCTTTAATGTTTCTTATCCAATTTGGAAAACACTAACATATCACTTATTCTGAGCATAAATATGAGTGAAAATGTTTCCTGTGTCAGTAAAAAGTCAATAAATTATCATTGACAGACAATTTATAATAATTAAAATTTTTAATTACAGCTGGGGGAAGGAAACACATTTTTTAAATTACAGGCAATTATGATTTTTTAACTTATCTGGGTAATTTGAGTTAATGAAAAGTTAAAATGTTAAAGGAAATTTCAGATCCTCTGGTTCAAAGGAGAAATACAAACATTCATATCTCACTTAAGACTCCCATGGCCAGAGTAGTCATAAGTAGCCCACACAAGCGTCTCGGCCCTTTTCAGTACAATACACTGAAGCTTCTACCAAGCAACCAGAGCTAAATAAGCCATGAAAGCTCTTTGTTATCATGAATCTTGATTGCCAACTTGATTGGATTGAAAAACGCCTAGATTAGCATACATCCCTTTTGGTGTGTCTGTATGGTGTTTCCAGAGAAGATTGATTGAAGAGGAAGACCCACCCTGAATGTTGGTGCAACCATCACACAGTCTGGGAACCCAGATGGAATAAAAAGGGAAAGCCAGTCAGGGTGCACATTTTGTCTTTCTGCTTCCTGGCTGCCATAATGTGAGTTGCTCTGCTCCATGCCCTTCCCACCATGATGGCTAAAACATATGAATAGCCTTATTTTGGTGATAGTAGCACCATCTTTTCATTTGCCTATGCTAAAAACCTGAGAATTTTTCTTAATTCTTCTGTAATCTTTACCCCTCTTATTCAGTTATCTCATATTTATTTATTTCTATCATGGTGATAAAATAGCCATCAAAACATTTATATTCAAGTTAGGGACACAGCCAAATGCAAATAAATAAGCAAATAGAAAAACAATGTAATTACAAATTGTGATGTGTCAGAAAATAAAAGACTAAGAAAAGGAATATCAAGTAATTGATATTCTATCCAGAGAGAGCTGTTCCCTAAGAAAGGAAGGCCTCTCTGAGCTATAAGAAGACCACATACAGAACAAGAGAGTAAAATTCCAGAGAGGAGAAACAGTATGTAAGAAGACCTGAGGCCAGAAAGTTCTAAGCAGGAACTCAAGGCCCTGGAAGATCAGTGTGACAGAGCATAATTAGGAAATGGCCAAATGGCAGGAGAGAAGCTTGAGAAAATATGAGGTCAGATTCTACAGGACCAAGTATCCATTTTATTTTAAATGAATGGAAATCTACCAATGTATTGAAGGTAGAAGAATACTTCAAAAATGTTCATCTTAATGGATAATAATAAATAAAATAAAAATAATAAATAAAATATTTCACTTTTTAATTTTATGTGTATAAGTGTTTTGCCTGCATGTATATAAGTACACCCATGTCATGCAATGCCAACAGAGGTCAGAAGAGGGAGTTGGATTCTCTGGAACTGGAGCTACAGACAGTTGTTAGCTGCCATGTAGGTGCTAGAATTCGAACCTGGGTCCTCTGCAAGAGCAACCGGTACTCTTAACTTCTGAGCCATCTCTCCAACCCCAGAAAATTTTTCTTAGGCAAAGTCTATGAGGCTCTTCCTAGAAAAAAGTTTAACTGCCTACAGAAGGAATAAGAAATACAAATTGTCCACAGATACTTGCTAAGTTTCTTTACAATAGGTATGCTTAAGGGTTTATTTAAAAATCTCTCTACTTGGGGATTTGGTGTCATAAATAAAGTGTTCCTTATTTACATCATCCTCTTCAGGTTACTAATGTGAGGCAGACTCTTATACTGGCCAAAGCTCCAAATATCAAGAGCCTGGACATTGTTTGCAAAGTACATGGTATATCTTACTTTCAGCATAGGGTCAGAAGCTCTACAGTGTGTTTTAATAATTGACGGTGAGTACCCTAAAACAGAGTGGTTTAAAGCAATAAAACATTCAATACCTCATGCGATTCCTGAGAGTCAGAGTAGCTTAGATAGGTGGTTCTCAAGAGGTTCTCAGGAATAAAGTAAAGGTATTACTAAGGTTAGATAATGTACATTCACACATCTGTTGGCAAGACTTCAGTTTCTTGCCACCTGGACCTTCCCATAGACCTACTTTAGTATCTTGCACGATGGCAGTCAGGTTTCCCAATAAGCAGTCCAAGGGATAAGCAAGGGGGAAACCACATGCCTTTAATATCCTAATTTGAAATGTCACACACCACCACTTTTGCCACATTCTAGTCACGGGAAATGAGTTAATATGTATAGCCTGTACTCTAGAGGCAGGAATTAGGCTGGATCTTCTGAAGAAAATTATCAAAAAACACCATCACAAGGCAATTCCTGGCTAGTGCTTGGTCATGTAATCTTTAAGACATACAAAGAATTATCTCTCGATATTCTACAATTTCCATTTCTTTGTGATTAAAATATTTTTGTTGTTGTTGTTTTTGAGACAGGGTCTCCCTGTAGCCCCATCTGTCCTGCTGTCCTGGAACTCGCTATGTAGACCAGGCTGGCCTCAAATTCACAGAGATCACCTGCCTCTACCTCCCAAGTGCTGGGATTAAAGGCGTGTGCCACCACGCCTGGCTAAAATATGATTCTAAACTTTGGAGAACACAAAACATGCCCAGAAGCACATGTGCTCATGTTCTAGCCGTTCTTTCTAACTTCATCTTTGCAGTGCTTAGTCCCTACACCACAGCCATCTTGCCTACCTCGTATTCCTTCTTGCTTATTGGCCTTTTCTCATGCTATTTCTTCTGCTCAAAATACTTTTACACTTCACTCTGTGTGATTGATTCCTACTCATTCACCAGTATTAAATGCAGGAGCCAACCTCTTCTGAAAAACCTACTCTAGACTAAATCAGACATCAGTTTTATGTTTCTACATATATTTTCTAAAGTATTTATCATTATACTTTAATTTGTTTGTGCCATTCTGTATCTTCCTCTCCCAGGCTGTTAACTTCTTAAGAAAAAATATATCATAGTCTTTATATCTCAATGACTAGAATATTGGCTAGAAAATGGAGATTATTCAATAAATATTTGTATTTTTAATCAATGAATATATTATGAATGTATAAATTGAGTGAATATCTTCATTTTATGAAGTAACAAATATTTTAATAAATAATATTAGAACTTTTCCCCTGGATAAACTTTTATTATTCAAAAAGCTGGGGATATAGTCTACTAGTAGAATGTTTACCTAGCATGCAGGAGATGAGGCCCTGGGTTTGATCCCTAATACCCTCCAAAATGGATAGAAAGTGAGGGAGGGAAGAAGGGAGGAATGGAGAGAAGCAAATGAAGGAAAAAGAAGAAAAGGGAAAGAGTACCGGTATGGTGTAGATACACCTGTAATCCCAGGATGGGGAAAGCTAAGGCAGTAAGATTAAAAGTCTGAGGCCAGCCTGAGTTACACAGAAAGACCCTGTTACAAAGAAAAAGAAATAGAAAAAGGAGAAGAAACTCTTCTTTGCCAGTCTTTTTAAAAAATATTTTATTATTTTTATTTTATGTGTATATGTATGTGAGTACACCCATGTTGTGCAATGCCACGGATATCAGAAGAGGGCTTCAGATTCCCCTGGAACTGGAGTTAAGGATGATTCATAGCCACCATGTGGGTGCTGGGAATTGAACCCAGGTCCTCTGCAAGAGCAGTCAGTGCTCTTAACCACTGAGTCAGCTCTCCAGCCCCTGCCACTCTTTTCTTACTACATAGACCTCAGTTCCTAACTCAGGCCAATATGAGAACTATTAGCCCGTTCTGTAGGTTTAAAGAGGCTTTTATAAGGGCCATCACTACTCCTACCAGCACTTTACAATTACATGCATCCTAAGTTTTACAAAACTGATTCATAAGTGAACATGCAACAGAACACTGATGATAATTTTGTGGATCAGTAAACTTAAAAAATTATAATAAAGCCGCTCGAGGTGACCTGTGAAAATGGTTCTCTCTTGACTGAGAAAACCCTACAAAATCATGCAAATCAAGAGGTTCCAACCTTTGTGGTCACTTTAAGAACACATGTGAAACTGCCCAGGCCATAAAGGGTATGCATATCTGAAAAGCCACCAAGTATCTGAAAGATGTCACTTTAAAGAAGCAGTGTGTGCCATTCCGGCATTATGACAGTGGAGTTGGTAAGAGTGCCCAGGCCAAACAGTGGGGCTGGACACAAGGTCGGTGACCCCAAAAGAGCGCTGAATTTTTGTGCACATGCTTAAAAATGCAGAGAGTAATGCTGAACTTAAGGGTTTAGATGTAGACTCTCTGGTCATTGGGTATATTCAGGTGAACAAATCACCCAAGATGCGCTGCAGAACTTACAGAGCTCATGGTCACATTAACCCATACATGAGCTCCCCCTGCCATATCAAAATGATCCTCACTGAAAAGGAACAAATTGTTCCTAGACCTGAAGAGGAAGTTGCACAAAAGAAAAAGATATCCCAGAAGAAACTGATGAAACAAAAACTTATGGCATCGGAATAAATTGAGCATAAAATAAACACAGATAAAAGTTTTAAAAAATTATAATAATAAATTTGTATTTTACTGTCTTGTCTTCAAATCTGTCATTACAGAATTTAAGATATAGGACTTTTGTGAACAATTGACAACCCAAGCTCACATATTGAACATTCTTCCAGATATTGCATGGATGGATGTGATTTATCCCCTAAGGGTTCATCTCTTGAGGCTTTGTCTTGACGTGTGTTGATGTTGAGGCAATGGGACTTTAAGAGAGGAGCCTAGTGGGAGGTCCTTGGGAACCAGAGTTGCTGTCCTCAGGGAGAAGTAGATAGTTCTCGAGGAATTCTGAGTTAGTTCTGAGAGCAAATTGTATAGAAATCTGAGCCTAATGGTTCCTCAATCTCTATCTGGCTTCATTTCTCACAATATGATCTCTCCTAGTTGTGACACAGTCTGCTATGGGATCCTCAAAAGAGTTGATCTAATGTTAGCTCCATGAACTCCATTACTGTGAGATAAATAAACCTTATTTAAAGTTACCCCTAATGTAGGCATTTTGTAACAGAAACTTAAAAATGGACTAGTATATGGTTAGTAAGATGGCTCAGAGGGTAAAGGCACTTGCTACCAAGTCAACTGAGTTCTGTCCCCAGGACTGTCATGGTGGATGGGGAGAACCAACTGCTACAAGTTGTCCTCTAATCTCAACACATGCACATAAAAATTAATACATTTCATAAAATAAATTGTAATTAAAAATTTTAATATACTAACACATTTCTTGTCCTAATTCCCCACAATGAAATGAATATAATGGTAAAGTTCTATGCCAGGGGCTGGAGAGATGGCTCAGTGGATAAAAGTATTTGCTGTACAAGTATGAGGACCATTTAGATCATTTGTGATATTCTACATCCTGAAATATTGAATATTTAGCTAAGATTTAAACAAGTATACCCATCTCATTAGTATGCAATTTTTCTTTCATCTTTAATTACTAGTAAAATTATGTGTATTTCAAAGAATTGTTCTCAAATAAATTTATGATTTATTACCAGTAAACATTTAATACTAGGTGTAATATTCATACACCTAACTTATATGCCTATATACCCAGGGTCACATAAAAATTCCTCAGGCAGGGGCTGGAGAGATGGTTCAATGGTTAAGAGCACTAACTGCTCTTGCAGAGGACCCGGGTTTGATTCCCAGCACCCACGTGGCGGCTACGAACCATCCTTAACTCCAGTTCTAGGGGAATATGAAGCCCTCTTCTGACCTCCGTGGCACTGCATGACATGGGTGCACTCACATACATGCAGGCAATACACTCATAAACATAAAAAAAAAAAAACCAAAACTGGTTGCTCTTGCAGAAGACCCAGGTTCTATTCCCAGCACCCACATGGCAGCTAACAACTGTCCGTAACTCCAGTCCCAGGGGATCTGACAGCCTCTTCTGACCTCCGTAGGCATTGCACCACACCGGTGCACTTACCTACATGGAGGCAATACATGCATAAACATAAAAAATAAATACATTTTTTTTAATTAAAACA